GCTGCCATGGGGTGAGACAAATTCTGCCCCAGCTGATGCATTAATTGTATCATGGGATTCTGCAAGTTGGTCATCTGCGCATCTACCTGCTGCTTGTGTTGCAACAATGCTGGTGATAGAGGCTTGGTGGATGGTGGAGTCCTCTGGGGACTGGAGGCCATTCCTAAAATTCCTCTCTTTGGAAGAGAGTAGGAGACTTGCAAGATTGATGTCAGCCTTATGAGGTATACCAGACAGGAAACATGACCAGATTCTGATTCTAATTTATTGTAAAGCTACATTAACAGAGTCTTGCAAGTCTGAAAATACTTCTCTCCCCACATCCCCTTTACAGCCCCAAAACTAGGGAGGGTCTCTTCTGAGCCTCTTAGGGTCTCTTCCCACACACTAATCTGAGCCTCTTGCTCCACCCACATTCCTGCTGTGGGCTCAGCTGCCTTCTATCTGACCATTCCCTTGCCTGCATCTCTTTGCCCTGCCTCATTCCCACATAGCATTACACTCTATCAGTACAGGCAGGGAAACTAATGGGCAGCATGGTGAGCAGTACACCAACAAGATCCCCAATCTGTCCTGAGTACCCGACACATTCAATATTGATATTCAACTGGAAAGGGAACCCGGAGATGGAGATAAAATCCCAATGGACCAAAACAAGTCCCCTTCTCTGACCTTCAGGTGTGTGCTGGTGATGAACAAAGTACCCAGGTGGACACAACTGGGAGAGGCTAACTCCTTCCAGTTCATTAACCCAGGTCTGTTATCAGTTCAACCCCTTCATCTACAATTAGATCCTAAATGAGATATATTTTATTTTGGATTGACCTGGTGTTCAGCATTAGCACCAGCAGATCTGAAGGCAAGCTGGTACAGCAACCAAACACCTTCTGGATAGGAAGGGAACTAGAAAGAATAGACATAAGTTGTCCCACTTCTCTTTACCTGGTTAGTTGACCCCTCAACACTATATTTCCCCCTACAGCTGACCACAGTTATAGGGACAACCATGTCTCTCTCTTGGTTTTTGTATACATTTCTTAGACACATACAGGTAGTCCTCGTTTAGTAACCACAATTGCGACCCGCAACTTGATCATTAAGTGAAATGGTTGCTAAGTGAAACTGTGACTGTGCTTATGACTTGTACAGTCTTACTTCAGCTTTCCTTTGCTTTACAGACCTGCAAAGGTTGTAAATACAAGGACTTGTTGCAAAGTTACTTTTTCATCACCATCATAAATGTGAACAGTCGCTGTACAAGGCGGTCGCTAAGTGAGACCTACCTGTAGTTAAAAGATGGCCACACTGAGTTTAGGAGACTGGGGGTAAGGTTCTCTGTATGAACAGAGTTCTTCCACAGTCCCAGTAGTTCCTGTTGTTAGCACACTACACTGGTGATGGTGCTTCTTTCCCAGTTACCTCTTCATTTACTGTGGGAAACAACTGGGAAGCAGTAATTGGCCTCATTTACTGGTTTCACACTGCCAACGGCAAACTGCCATTCTGCTTGAAATGAATGGCTTGTTTAAGTAAATGTGAAGGAGTAACAGTAGTTTTGGGGTTGCTACAACCATAACTCTTAAAATATTGGATTTTTTTTCAAATAATATTTTTCCAATTTGTTTCTGAAACCTGAATGTTGGTTTTCAGGTGAGTTTTACAACGATGTAAGTAAAAAGATATCTTCCTTTGAGATAATAGCTCATCAGTGAGGGAAAGTATACTTTATACAGCTAATGGGAATAGTCCTGCTCTCTTGTTACTCCCTTTATTGCCTGTTAGTTATTAATCTGGCCACTTTTGCAGTCTGTTTTCAAATGTTGTGTCTGGTGCAGAACATAATATTTATGCTGGGGATTTACAAGTCTAGGAATACAGTACAAGAAAACAAGGCTGGAAGGAACACATACAATTGGTCCTTAATAGGGTTCAGTAAGGCAATAAAATCAGGTATCAGTAGAAGCTTAGTAACCTGAAGCAAATGACCTCCCAGACCACCAAGCCATTATTTTCAAGGCCTATGTGAACTGCACAGGACCCTTGACATGTTTCTGAGCTTTGATGTAGAGACCATTTACAGCTTGGAGACATATCCATCTCAAACTTTGAATGATTTCTGATTTCTATAAAATCACCTAAGAGCTTTTTCCTGCAGAGCAAGGATATGTAGCAAAGCATTCTGAATGGCATAATGGCTGGGGTAACACATGATGTTAAGCCAGGAATATTAACTCAGGATTGTTGAACTAGTCATTGCAGCCTCACACATCAATTTAGAACCATAGTGGCAGAGTTCACATATCCCACTAAGCCTAGAATGCATAAATTTGTTTTAATCTGAGGGATTGGCCTTTGCATGGCGTATCAAGAGCTGATTCCAAAACCCTAATTTAACTACAGGTAGTCCTCATTTAACAACCACAATTGGGCCTGGAAACTCGGTTAAGCAAAGCAGTTGCTAAGTGAAACCACAACTGTGCTTATGATCTTACTTCAGCTTTCCTTTCCTTTACAAATCTGCAAAGATCCTAAATGTGAGGATAGGTCGCAAAGTTACTTTTTCATCAACATTGTAACTGTAAACGGTCACTAAACAAGGACTACCTGTATATCATTATTCAAACCAGGATTCTCAAATTCTGTGGTTCCATGTCACAAAATATTTAACAAATTTGTGTTAAATTATCTTAGGGCAGCAAGGTTATAATTCTTTCAAATCCTTCTGACCTTTCTGGAAACCTATTGTGTTGTTATTAGGAAGTTGTCTTCATAAACCCCAACTATACTTATGATAAGAATATACTCAGAGGAATTTGAGGAATTTAGATGTATCAAACAAATCCAGTTAGCCATTGTTACAATGTCTCAAATGTATTTTTCTCATTCTTTCCATTCTCTCTTTTCCGTCAACGCCTGTTGGCTCTAGACTAAAACTGTAGAATTGAAAGAAGTTTGCAGTTCAGGCTTGTAGGCAACATATAATGTTTGCAGGGTTCATCTCTAATAACAAGTTCTTGTTCAAGGAAGAGAATTGGAGTGCATAAGCATAGGGTATGGATACAAAAGCCCAAGAAGAATTTAGCTGCTTTGGATTTTCACATTGTTTTAAGCAGTGGTTTGTGGAATACACACAATCAACTTCAAACAAAGCATTAAGTCTAACCATACACATTGCAGTTTAATGTGGTATGTGAATTAAGCTCGAGGTATATATAAAAGTATTATCTTTGATACTTTGTGACACCAAAAACATAAAAATTTTTACTCAAAGCCCTAATATCAAAGAAAACAATTCATCTGTTTTTAATTTCTAAAAATGATTTCAGTTCCAAGAATCTGAAGGAGTTTGGTAGTACCTTTTCTAACCAATTCTACTGAAAACCATACACTTTCATGAGCTCACCTCATCAGATGCATGGAGTGCTAACCTGATGTACAATTTAAAGAGGGTGATTGTACAGTTTCATGCGAGTCAGATTACAAGTACCTCATCAATTAGCAATTGCAATGTGTCAAGTTTACATAGTTTAATAAAATTTGTTAGCTGAAAAAGGTGCTACCAAACTCCTTCTGAGTTTCAGCCGTCAAAGACTAATATGGCTTTCCTCCTACAATGTATGTTGAGAATCTGTACCTCTTTTGCCCATCATTATATAAATTTGTAAATGCCTGACACCTGGATTTGTGATTCTGTTAATGGAATTTAACATTCTAGTGAATCCTGTATGAATAGATCTGTTAGCTCACCCATCAAAGCCATATATAATTAACAAATGTAATTAGCCAATTTTTCATGGTATTTTTAGCCCACTTGTAGAAAGGGCTGGGAAAGAAAGGAAGATTTTTTAAATTCATCACTGGACAGACATCTCATGTTCTCAGAGATATGTCAAAACACATACTATTGTGCTGTGACATCTCCTTAGATTGATTGATCTACTGTTTGGCAACCCCCTTACTAATCTAATGTAACAATCGTAGGGGAGAGCTGTGTTAGAGAGTAAAAATCAGGGAGCACCTTTTCTGATTAACAACTTTTATTAATCTAGCACAGGGTTTCTCAACCAGCGTTCCATGGAACCCTAGGGTTCTGCAAGAGGTCACTAGGGGTTCCCTGGGAGATCATGATTTATTAAAAAAAATATTTCAAATTCAGGCAACACTTCTTGCAGTGATGAGTAGAGACCAAACAAAAATCTAGTTACAACTCTTTCTGAGCTCTCTGGTAATGCGCTGTAGGACTGTGTTTATTTGGTTGAATCCATTTTTAATTTTTGACATGAGATAGGGGAGACAGTTGATAACAGGTGAATGCTATATTGCAGGAAGGGGAAGGAGAAGTGCATTTTTCAATAAATTAATGGACTAGTCCAACTTAGTCTGTGATGTCAGTCTCTCCCTCCTGCATCTTTTCCCTGTGGTTTTCGTGTAGTTAATTTATCCCATTATTTAAAAAAAAAAAAATAGTACATGCTTATTCAGTCATGTCTGAGGGTCCAACATGGTGATTTTTGAAGAGGAGGTTGTGAGAGAGAAGAGGAGGATTCTGGAATGGGCAATACCAATAAGTCTAATGATGATAATGATAATGAATTTAAATCTTCTCAGGCATTTTCCTGCACTGGTACATCAACAGACTCAAAAAAAAAAAAACCTCTGTCTTTACAATGAAAGCTATTTATCAATGGGTTTTACATGGACAGGTGATCTAAGTTGTTCTATTCCATTGTGCCTCATCTGTGGCAAACAACTTACAAATGCAGCAATGGCTTCACCAAAATTAAAAAGATACTTCACTACAAATCACAGCCATATGACAGGTAAAAGTTCAGATTATTTTAAACAGCTATTGAAGGGGTGATTGGATGACACACAGAATCCTGACTTTAGTATTATTAGCAAATTCCTAATTCCATTCTAATTACACAAATTATCGACACCTTGAATGTTTATGGGCATTATCTTGGATGAGGTATAAGTCACAGATTTACAAGCATGTGCCATGTTTAAAAAATGTCTATTTTTATTTACCAACTTTAACAAAGCAGGTGTTTGCTTCCCAGTGAACATTTCAAAAACTGCAACCAGAACAAGGAAAAGCTTTATAAACGAGGACTACTTATAGCAGTTATCATAAAATACAAAGATTTTCTTATTCTTTGGAGATAATCTTTCTCAAAACAAAAAACAAAAACAAAAAAACCCCACTTTCAGACAATGGCGAAAAAATGATGAGATAAAACATGGTGAAAAATGGTCAGATGGAAACATGTCATCATACATTTCAGAAACAGCATGTAGTTTATGCCTGAATGAGAGTGAAGATGGGGATCAAATATTAACATAGAAGCGGAAGCAGAATAAGTGGAGGTATAAGGCCAGCTTACTTAACATCTGCATCTTACTATTCTAAGGCTGTGATCTTATGTCTGCCTGTTGGAAATGAGTTGAATGAAAATGCTTATCTGCATTCAGATAAGCATAATTAGGATTTGGATAACAATTTATCTCTCTTATTTGGATTAAATATGTGTCTGTTTACTGAAGATCTACTTAGAATCTTATTTTAAAAGACGCAACACAAAACAAAGAAGCATTGAATGCACCGCTTAGAATGCAATGGCCTGCTAGCTGCCTAACTCAAGTGCAGATTCCAAGCAAGTTAATTGGATATCTCCCTTTGCCCTCTACTAAACCACATACACATGTTCATGTTCTCAAATTTGCTTTTTCAAAACTGGATATAACTACGAAGATGCATATATATATGCATTAAAAAGAGTTCACTGTTCTTTCCAAAGTCTAAGAATCAGCTTGCTTCAGAATACAGACATCTCTGTACTATATAATAATAATTCTTTAGAAATAAATTCCTAACATGTTTACTTATCAAACCAATTATGTTAAATCTGAAATCTTAGAGTCAGTCTGACTTACTAACATGAACAGAAAATGAGGCATTCTGATCTCATTTTAATGATAAACATATTTACACATGTTGGAGTCAAGTACTCCTTTTTAAATGAGCATTCATTGCACTAAATGTGAATTATGGGGAGATCCAGAAAGATTCAGCTCAGCATGGCACTAGGATATAGTAGCAACCGATTTCTATGTTTGGGACTGCAGGACTATTAGATTAGACAACAATGGTCATAATTCACAAATACAGTTTATATCATGGTAACTTCTGCAAACAGAATCCACTAGATGGGCATTCACAGAACAGTTTTGAAGGTTTTCAGTCAGACATACTAAGTGTTCAGTTGGGGAAAAACATAGTTTGCAGCTTGTGGTTCTATGTTACTGCTAGAGAGCTCAGTTAGAGCTTCTTTCATTGGCCACATTACTGAGGTAATCATGGATACAGTTCAGTGAGGCCTTTTCTATTTCTCCTCACCAGCACCTCCAGTTGCCGCTTTGTTGAGTCCTCTGATTGACAAATCATAAACCACCTCTTCTATCTTCTTGACATCATACTTGAGGCCATCGTAGCGTTTCCTCAGGGAGTCATTTTTCAAATTGAGAAGGCGGAATCCCGAATCCAACTCATTGATGAAAACAGAGATGCGGAGTGGCCGAGAGTAGTCCCCAGCTGTTACACTGTTCACTGCTAGCCTAGCCTATTAAATAAAACAGAATGGGACCTACGTTGAAGTGAAAACCTGTTACGCCTCACTAGAGTTACACTGTGATACCCGTATATTAGTAAGATAGAAATATGCAGTCTCTTCACAACCCTGAGATTTTCAGAAAGTGTGAACCTGAAATCCAGATATTTGGAATGTACCTAGGTTGCAAGATGCTGCCTTAGATGAGTCCCCAATCTTGAAAGCCTTTTATCTAAAATCCTGTTTTATCTAAAACAAGCAACTTCAGTCAATCAGCCAACAAGTAAATAAATAAAAATGATATCTAGCTGTACCTTCTTAACTTGCTGTCCTCCAACTAAAATGAGATTCTACGCTTCCCAGAATTTTTAGCCAACATTTGAGATCACCTCATCCAACTAGAGAATACCTGGTCAGAAGAGACTGAACTACCTTTATCCATGCATTAATTTGCTATTTACTTCAATTCAATTAGGTGAGCAATCTAGCTGTAAAGCTATTCAGTACGCTACATACCAGCTCACTTGCAAGAGTCAATACTCCAGAAAGATAATCCTCAATGTCCAGATGAAAGCCTTTTTCTCTATCAGCTTCAACTGAAAAGGAAAGGAATATGAATTCAATAAAAATTATACAAACTATTTTTCAACTAACAAACAGGGATTTCTAATGCTATGTTAGAAACACCATGTTAAGCCTTCCTCTAAGTCTTCTTATTAACTTACTTCCAAGAATTTCAGTAACAGCTTCCCGTGTCACCAAGGTTTCTGTTTCCAGGTAGATAACAAATGCTGCTAAGAACACCAATCGTTGGAGCACAAATCTCCAATGTTCATGAAATCTGTATGGAAAAACACCTGATTGAAATATAGGCATTTTATGAGCATTTTTAAAGATATCAGGGTCATGCTTACAAAGTTTAAATGGTTCTATAACTGAACATATCAATAAGAAAATGTATGTGTATCTTGCCCTTCTATTCAAGAAGGTCAACGCACTTTGTGATGCAACAAGTTAGAGTATGTAGTAGCGACTGGCCCCAGATCTCCAAATTATTCTTGTTTCATATAGTATAAAGCCCCCCAAAACCCCATTTTTCCCAAACAGTTCTTCTTGCACAACAAAAACATTAACTATTTAATATACAAACTGTCAGGGTTAATACAGCAAGTAACTGCTTAGACTTAGCTGCTTCTAACAATAATTCTATCTTTTAGCAGATCACTTATTTTCCCTTTCCAATCTACCCTGTATCAAATTAAGAGGGAAGGGAGAGTTCACTAACCTGTAATATTGATCTGCAGGAAACTTCGTTTTTAGAGAAGTCAAATGTGTTTTAACAGTACCAAAGTGTTCCCGAGCCTTCTGACATTTATTTGGTACTGAAATTAAAAGAAAACAGCAAGTTAAAAAAAACACCTTTTTTTTAATTACATGGCTTCAGGCATAAACTCATGAGCTGCAAAAAACAAAACAAAACAAATTAAGAATTACAAGAAATAAGTCCAGACTAAATAAAGTTTTAGCCATACTAAAATAAATGGAACAAATTAATGATGGCTAATTTTGATCCAACCCATTATTTCTTAAGCTGGGATAAAAAAAAAACTTTTGTAGCCAGCAGCCTATTTTTTTCTCTTTCTCTTTTTGATGGCTAAGGGCCACAGCAGGCAGATGCTGACAGCACCAAAGTGGTTGAGTAGGATTTCTGAGGAAAAAGGTTTTAAGGCATCTGTGCTTTGTTTGTATGTACATTGTTACATTAATTCTAAACAAACTTTTGCACATCTTGAAAAGATTTTCTGCCAAATACATGTATCAGGTATTTAACTATCTGCTAAAAAAGTAACTACTAACTGGCTAAATACCTAAACTGGATTATACTTTACTGTTACATAGGTCCCCACATTTCTGATTCACAAATGCAAGGCCACTTTAACTAAGAAAATACATTCCCCACCTTACTTGGTGGCAGCTACTTTTGTAGCATCCTCAATATATTTTCCACTCTTTCCCCAATAGTGTGATATACTGAATACAACAAACAAAGCTGGACTTACTGTCCTGGAATCCAGAACCCTGGTGGACTCCTTGAAGCACTGTCAGAATTTCCCGGGCTGTTTGCTCCAGAGCTTGAACAACTTTCCTAATCTCCTGTATTTGATCATAAAGTCTCTGAGCATGATTGTTAAAAAACAACACTTTCACACAAGTCTGTTGTAATTTTGTCTTTCTATGTTGTGGCCAAAACCTGGCTCACTGAAAGCAATCAAATCACTTTGAAAATACAACATAAACTCTTGGATTTGGGATTTCCAGACAGGTATTACTTTAAAGAGCAGTACATGTATAATGGGTTACATTTTGCGGCTTTTGTGAATAATCACAAAGATTCTGGGCTGGGAGAAAGATGGAAGTATCGTTCTGCATATCTAGATGGGAACCTAGGCAACTAAGCCTCCCCGCCCCCCCTGCTTTCATAAGCTATTAAGAAACTATTTGATTTTCTTGTTCCAACAGGAAGAGGATTTTACAAATATTTAGAGGGCCTGTGCATTTTGAGGATCCAATTCCCTTCATCACTAGCACAGATAGTCCTTGCTTAGTGACCACAATTGGGAGTGGCAACTCTGTTACTAAGCGCCGCGGTCCCTAAGCAGAAAATCACAAGACTGTGACAGGCTTACAACCTCACTTCCCATTTGGTTGTTAAGCGAAACATCACGTGACTGCGACTTACAATTTTACTTCTGCCTTCTCTATTTAACTCTATTTAAGCTAGTTAAAGCACACAAATGGCAATCACGTGATGCTGCGATGATCGTACATGCATGCTGACTGCAAAACACCTGAACAATGATTACATGGCTGAAGGACATTGCGACAGTCGTAAATGTGAGGATTAGTTGCAAGGCTATTTTTTTACACTGTTGTTACTTTGAACAGCTGCTAAATGAGGCAGTCGGTAAGTGTGGACTAGCTGTAATACGATACAATTTATCTGACTTTGTATCGACTGCATCAACCAATATTACTTTCTAGCTTTGTTGTTGATGTTTCTTTACTTTTCCTATTTGCTAGGTTTAAGATGCCTGTATATAGGTAGCCTTGACTTATGACAATTTGTTCAGTGACTGAAGTTACGTGGACATGTGATCAAAATTTGGGCGCTTGGCAGCCTGCCTACACTTAGGACTGCAGGGGCGCTTCAACTCCCCTCACTCACCTATCTCCCCCCCATCTATGCCCTTTTGCTCCCCTGTGCTCTATCGCCCCAGCTGACCTTCGCCATCTTCTTGCTTCCCGTGCTGACAAGGTATGCCTGGCTTGGCTGATGAGCCAGGCTGGGCTGGGCTTTGGCTGTAAAAAACAAAACAGAACAAACAGAAAAAGAAAAAAAGCCAAAAGCAGCCCCAAAGCCATGGCGTGCCAAAAAGCCCCTTTGCAAAAAGCTCCTGGAGTGCGGTGTGCCAAAATGCCCCTTTGCACTGTACTCCTGGGTCAAACTGGGCTTTTGGCTTTTTTTTCTCCCCACAGTATGAAGCAAAAGCCCAGGCCAGGAGTGCAGCACAAAGTAGCGTATTGGCGCACTGCAGCTCAGGGGCTGCTTTTGGCTTTTTTTCACAGCACGAAGCAAAAGCCCAGCCCAGCCCCACCCAAAAATGCAGTGCAAAGGGGCATTTTGGCACACTGCAGCTCAGGGGCTGCTTTTGACCTTTTTTATGCAGCCAAAGCCCAACCCTGCCTGGAGCAGGAGCCAGCCCTCATCAGCAGTGGGAGCAAGAAGATGGCAAAGGTCAGCTGGGTTGGCGGAGTGAAGGGCGGCAGAGGTCTTGGAGTGTAGGGTGGCAAGGGTGACTGCAGCTGGGACTAGGCTGGGGCAGCTGTGGCTTCCCAGTGGATGGCAAGCAGCCCCAGAGTCGCACAGTTCTGGGGCTGCTTGCTGCCCTGCAAGGCAGGGTGCAGGGCAGCCAGAAGGGCAGAGATGGGGGGAAGATAGGCGGGTGCGGGGAGTTGAAGATAGTCTCTTACCTTACTGAGGCCCAGGGCTGGGAGGGACCAAGCCTGGAATGGCTTGGATTGGGATGGGTTATCAGTTAACAGCAGCAACCAGGACTGCCAGGATTGCGGTCAATAAGTGATGTGATCATGTGACATCTCGCTTTAAAACTGCATTGCTTAGTCATGGAAATTCTGGTCCCAATTGTGGTCACAAGTTGAGGACTACCTGTATACTGCCCTTCACAAACATAAGACTGGGGATTCGTGGGCTAAAAGAGCTTGTTTGTATGGGTTATATTTATCAATATTTACCACATTAAAAATTAAAACTGATGCATTCATAGAATATTTATTCATTGAATCATGTAAAAATAACAAAATTAAGCCCATTATATATTAACATAAAAAAATATTTTCATGGAAAAACCTTGCATTTTTGTTTTAACAAATAATACAAAAATGAGAAGAGTGACCTTTTTTTAATTGTTGCAAATATCTTCGATATTTGGAAAATTATTTTGATTTCGTGGACTCCAGGGGTCCTCGGACTACATTTTAAGAAACACTGGTTTAGACCATGATTATTCGCTAAGGAGTGAGCTCCTTGAACCCATACAATGTGTGCGTGCAGGAAGGGCAACAAAAGCCTCCCTTTTTGTTTGCAACCAGCATTACCCGCCTTACAGCCGCCCCCTCCCCCCTCGTGCTCTCCCGACGGGTAAGGACTGCAATTCCCAAAATTCACAGCCACCGGCCGGGAATCCTGGGAGTTGCAGTCCCGATCCCGGGGAGGGGGCGCCCCAAGCCCCCTCCCACCTGCTCTTACCTCGCGGATATCCTGGTCGGCGGTGAGAACCCCCTGCAAGGCGATGAACATCTCGCTGACGGACATGTTCGGGCGCCTGGACGAAGACTCGCGCCGTCTGGGACGGGGGCGGGGGGTGTTCAGTGGACGGGCTACCACGCGCTCCCGTCGCAGGAAAGGGTCCTTCTCGGCCGCCGTCGCATGAGCCTGCCCAGCTGGCTGCCTCCCCAAAAAGACTGCGGCGCGCGGGACCAGACCGCGGCTGCTGAGGACTTAGCAGGCCTGGCTCGCTTTTCCCACCGACCGGCTGCTTTGCCCGCGCCCGTCTCCAGGCAGAAGCCTTCCGCGCTGCCCGGGCAAAGCACAAGGCAGCCCTCCCCAAACGCTTCTCCAAGGAGGGCGAGCCCCAGCCCGAGCATCGTCACTCGCTTCCGCTCCTCAGTTCTGGCTCTAACCGAGAGGAAGGGCCCCAGAGCAGCAGGCCCGGGAAGTTTCTTCGGCTGCGAGGGGCTCTCGTCGGGCTCCGTAGCGCGGTTTCCTGCGCGGCGGGCGGGCTCCCGCTTCGCAGGCTGGGCTGAGGCAAGACGCGCTGGGTAGGCTCCGCGAGATTGGCTCGGCCGGCGGGGCCTCAGAGCGGGGACCTTTCTCGCTTTCGGCGCGGCGTGCTCTGCTGCGCGGGGAGCGCGAGAGGCTCGTGGGCATCCGCGCGTGGATGCAACAGA